CTGGTGGAGTGCAAGCTAAGGCCCTCATGCTGGTGTGGCAGCACTTTATGGAGTGAGCCATCTCCTAGCCTCTGGATTATACTTCTCAGGGTCTCTTCTTCCTGTTCACAGTCATTCCATGACAAGTGACTTGTGAGTTGGGTGTGCTGCTTCAAGCCTGGATATCTTAGCACCTGGGAGGTGGACGCAGGAGTTCAGTGTTATCTCCAGCTACATATTACATACTAGGTTAGCTTAGACTACATGAGACCCAGCAACATATTACACACTAGGTTAGCTTAGACTACATGAGACCCTGTTGCAAAAAGAAGGAGGGGAGGAGCATTCTCAGCATGAGATACATATACTAAAGATAGTATCTTGCAGGCTGCAGCGATAGCTATATGGTTAAGAGTACTGGCTGCTCTTCCAGAGGACCCACGTTCAATTCCCAGCACCCACATAGCAGCTCACAACTGTCTGCAACTTCAGTTCCATGGGACCTGTCACCCTCATATAGATACACATGTAAGCAAAACACCAATGCACATAAAAATGAAAAAAATCTTTAAGGGGGTGTTGCTGGAGAGATGGCTCAACAGTTAAGAGCACTGACTGCTCATCCAGAGGTCCTGAGTTCAATTCCAGCAAACACATGGTGGCTCACAACCATCTGTAATGGGATCCGATGCCTTTGTCTGGTGTGTCTGAAGACAATGATACTGTATTCACAAAAAATAAATAAATCTTAGAGAGAGACAGAGAGAGAGAGACACAGAGACAGGAAAGGGAAGATGGGAGAAGGGAGAGGGGAGAGGGGAGGAGAAAGGAGAGGGGAGGGGAGAAGGAAGAAAGGAAAGAGGAGAGGGGAAGGAGGAGGGAGAAGAGAAGAGAGAGAGAGAGACAGAGACAGAGACAGAGACAGAGACGCTCTATATGTATTAACATGAAACAGCAAGCTCCATTTCAATTTGTCTTCTGAGATGGGCTACCCAGTCTAACCTTGAGTTCCTGGGATCAAGTGACCCTCCTGTTTTAGCATCTCCACTGCTGGGATTATAGGCATGTGCCACCACACCTGGCTCAGTGAATGTTTATGTGGCTAAATCCTCAAGGCTGTGTATATTGTCTGGCTGCCAAGGCATGTGTGTCTCGAAAGTTTTCATTGATCATTGTGTTCTGAGCAATAACAATGCATTGCAGGAAAAGAAAAGAGCTTCCAGGCCAGGAAAGCCTCTTCCAGTCTAATTGGTACAGAGGGGAAACTGAGGCCTAGGATCAGCAGTTGTGGGATAGGAGAGGGTGGGTGGCCTGCCCTCCCTCCCAGTTGAGACAGGTAGACAGGTGCTCACACGCTGGGCAGGTAGAAGTGGTCCTTGGCGCGGTGCTGCAGAGAAGCCAGCTTGGACACCTGCTGGAGTTGTTGCTCAGTGGGCTGGCTGGCCGGCACACTGCTAAAGAGGCCCTTCAGGTAGTCAGGCAGAACCTGCAGGAAGCAGTTGCATGAGGAACTGCTGGACAGAAGCGCACTCAGGCATCCACGGTCAGGGGCTCTGAGTCAGGCCATTGCATGGACTCCAGTCCTTCCCACTTTTAGGAGTTTATGGTTCATTGGTTTTCTGGTTTGTGAGGAATGAGGATAGACGCATCTGGAAGCAGAGCTCTGAAGGGTGAAAACTATGAGAGAGTTTCCATAGTAACATGGGAAGAGTGTAAAACAAAACACACAGAGTATAGTAAACACTAGATACATGTTTCTTGAAATTGGGACCCAAGGCAGACAGTGTATCAAACTAGACTTCTGAGTTTCATCTGGAGTCTCTGATCCTGTAGATCTGGGGCAGAACCAGTTTGTATCAAGCTTCTGCTGGTCCTTGAGTAGCACACTACCAGGATATGCAGAGTTAGGTCTCAACACTGTGCGGCCCCAGAAGGAAGTTGCTGTGTGTTTTAGAAAAGGTCTCTCTCTATAGCCCTAGCTGGCCTGGAGTTTGCTGTATAGACCAGGCTGTCCTCTAACTCACAGAGATCTGCCTGCTTCTGCCTTGTGAGTACTAGGATTAAAGGCATGTACTACAACATCCAACAATGTGGTTGTGTTTTGTACGTGGAACTGCTAAAACTTTGGTACAAGTTCCACAAAAATCTGGGTGTGGCATGTGTGGTATGCTACCTGACAGGCCATCATCAGTTTACAGGGTTCAGAACAATAGAGGGGTTGCATCTCTGACCTGATTGTAGTGCATGGTCACATACAGCTCATTCTCAAACTTCAGTGGCTGATCCCAAAGCACCCGCCGGAACCAGAGTGTGTAGCCACCGTCCACCTGCTCCATTTCTGAGGCTACATCTAGTATGTAGGCCCGGCAGCTTAGTGGACACACATGCTGGCCTACAGGGAGAAAGAGGCATCACTGGGAGAAGGAAAACTGTGGTGTAAGCAGCACCAACCTGTGAGCCAAGTGGAGTATCACCAGCAAAGACGCAGCTTCCTTATTAAGGAGAACAAACTTCTTACCGAACAGGATGCTCATACACTAGTGAGGTGCTGGTGATCACAGGAGGACACCACACCTGGGAACAAGTGGCATTCCACTTCTCCCAGGGAAGGAGCATTGAGTGCTCTAGAATGCCTACCAGGGTCTAGAAGGGGCCTTGGATTCTGCACTAAGAAATCCCAGCTCCTTTCCAGAGGAGACTGGGGTCACAAAGAAGCACAGTAGGCCTTAGCCAGGAGCTTTTCTGCAGACCTCCTTCAGGAGAGCCTGCTTGCTGGACATCTGTGATGGGTAGGGTTGAAGGCATGAGTTCTAAGCTGGGAGAGGTACATATGCTTCTCCTTTGCACTGAAGTCCTGCTACCTGTCTGTGGTGGTTTGAATAGGAATGGCTCCCATAGACTCGTGTTTGAATGCTTGGCCCATGCATGGGGAATGACACTATTAGGAAGTGAGGCCTTCCTTGTTGGAGTAGGTGTGGCCTTGTTGGAGGAAGTGTGTCACTGTGGGGGAGGGATTTAAGGTCTCCTATGCTCAAGCTCTGCCCAGTGTGGAACACAGTCTCCTTCTGCTGCCTGAGGATCAAAATGTAGAACTCTCAACTCCTTCTCCAGCACTATGTCTGTCTGCCTGGATGCTGTGAAGCTTCCTACCATGATGATCATGGACTAAGCCTCTGAGATTGTAAGCTAGCTCCAATTACATCCTTTCTTTTATAAGAGTTGTCTTGGTCATGGAGTCTCTTCATAGCAACAAAACCCTAACACTGTCCTGCCTCTTCAATAGAACTGTACTATGGAGGGTTACTTGGCATGATGATGAGAGTCCAGAATCCTGAGGCCAGATTGCCTGAGTTCTGACCTCCATTGTGCAACCTTGAGCAAGTCACGGTGTCTGAGGACAGTCTCTAGAGATAGCAACATCCTAATGCCTGGAACTTGTGACTATGTCACCTTATGGCAAAAGGACCTTTGCAGATATGACTAACAGTCTTAGATTTCAGGCCAAGTGGAGGCACTAAAAATGCTAAGAGAGGCAAGAGGCTCAAGTGAGATGTAGGGGCAGCGTTGAGGTTGGGGTAGGAGAAAGACATCTGAAAATCACACTCTTAGTTTCAGGGGCAGGGGAGACCCAAGCCAAGCAGTGTGGGCAGCTTGGAGAAGCTGAGAAAGGATGAATACAGATCCTCTCCTAAAGCGTCCAGAAGAAAGCAGGCTTGGCTATGTTCCTATTCTAGTCTCTGATTCTCAGAAGTGTAAGACAATCCATCTATGTTATGATAAGTCACTTGGCTTCTGGTGTGCTATAGCAATCACCAGAAAACTAATACAGCTTCTCTGGGCCTTAATTTCCCCAACTGTAAATAGCAAAGAGTCTACTGTATTGAGTTGTTCTGAGAGTTAAAAGATTTTATAGGATTAGGGCCTGGGGTGGGGGCATTTCTCAGTCATAGATGGCTTGCCTATGATCCACAAGACCCTAGGTTTGATTCCCAGCATAGCCCCAAACAAAAATGAACAGATCAACCACAGGCTTTTACTTTGACTCATGCCTACTATATGCTCAATACATGTCTACTGTTCCAGCCATACTGCTACCTGCCATGCCCATCCCCCTCTCCCCTGGCTGGACCTGGGGTAGGAAGTTCTGAAGCGCTCATGAAGGATGACTGGAGATGGTTGTGATTACCAGCTGGTGGAAGGCAAGACTAGCCTAGAGTGGGCATGATGCAAATTGGAGGGGTTTTGGGGGGCTGGAGAGATGGCTCAGTGGTTAAGAGCACTGACTGCTCTTCCAGAGGTCCTGAGTTCAAATCCCAGCAACCACATGGTGGCTCACAACCACCCATAGTGAGATTGGATGCCCTCTTCTGGTGTGTCCGAAGACAGCTACAGTGTGCTCATAATAAAATAAATAAATAAATCTTTAAAAATAAATAAATAAATAAATAAATAAATAAATAAATAAATAAATCTTTAAAAAAAAAAGAAAGGAGGGGTTTTGGGGCGTGTGAGAAGGTCCCTGTGTACCTAGGGGCCTTTAGGAGAAGGGCCCACAGGACATTGAGAGGGATCCCATGCTCCTGTGAGGGCTTTGAGGACTGGAATCAACGTTCCTATGTGGGATTTCAAGTGTCTGATTGTATGGATGAAACGTTCCTAAAATGTAAGTACCTAGAGAACAGCTTCTCTGACTGAGGAGGCCCTGAGGGGCCTGAGGGGCCAGAGCAGGATTCAGAGGTTCTGTCCTCCTCAAACCCCAGTTTGGAAGGCGAGACAGTCTTGTCCAGAACATAATAAAGTGGGAGAAATGAAAGGCTTGGGGAGAGAGCTCATTAGTGCAGAGGTCCTCTCTCATGGAGGGTGCAGGCTTCAGAGAAAGTAACCTTTGGCCTGGCTGTCAGGGCAGAGCAGAGAGGCTCCCACGGGCAAAGGTGATGCTGAGTCATGAAGGAGTCTAGAACGTTCAGTCCTACTCACCTCGGTTGGTGACAACAAAAATGACATATTCATCGAAGGCTTCAGGGCGTGTCAGGGCCATCTCAGTACAGAGCCCCTCTATGACATCCAGGGCCACCTGGGAAGGCCAGAGAGGTAAAGGTGGGCCTTAGCCACTAACCAAGATGCATAGGACTCTGTGGCTCAGCCTACAGAATACAGCTCTTGGAACTGGCTCCTGATTTGTCTTTTCATATTCTTTGTGTGACTCTAGACTATGTGACACTTAGCCTCTTGAAGTCTCAGTTTGCTGTTCCACATTCAGTATCTATAAGGGACCTATTGCAGATATCCTGAAGACACCAAACTTCCAAGATGAGTAAGTAGATTACTTAAAATTTTATAGTTATTTGCATGTGACCCACACATATCCTTCCTAGATTTTCAATCAACAATTTTTTTTTTTTTTTGGCTTTTCGAGACAGGGTTTCTCTGTGTAGCTCTGGCTGTCCTGGAACTCACTCTGTAGACCAGGATGGCCTCGAACTCAGAAGTCCACCTGCCTCTGCCTCCCAAGTGCTGGGATTAAAGTCATGTGCCACCACTGCCCGGCTTCAATCAACTCTTAACTGATAATAGCAAACATAGCAAAATGCTGTGTGAACATATGTCATACAATATTGTTTAGAGAAAGGTAAGAAAAGAATCTTTACTGTCCCAGTGTGACAGCTGGTTAAATCTGCAGACGCTGAACCCACTGTAGTAGCGAAGCAACTAACTGTAAGTTGTGTCTCCTGAGGCTGTGCAGGAGCCGCTGGATCACCGATGCTCACCCGACCTGACCCAGAGCCTGGTATCCCTACCTTTAGCACAAACTTGCTGAGACACCCTCACTTACTGTGCATGTTTTGATTTTCAGATGGCGTTCAAGGCCTCCTGGAAGAAGAAAGAGCTGCCTCTTGGAACTGCGGCCTGCCTGGAGTAGGTAAGCAGGAGAAAGATGAAGACCTGACCCTCCTGCCCTCATGGGAGTCCCCTAATCCAGAGGCATGTTGATGCAGGATGATTGACAGGAACTATCTTAATACACCATGCGGTGTACGTGCATCAAGCCAGGGATTCTAGGCAGAGCTTGTGTCTCCCACTCATCTTGACACCCTCTCCCCCCCAGCCCCCCACTGGTCCCCAGCCCTGCCGTAGGCTCACCAACATAGCTCGAAGCTCCATACTGCTGGGGAACTCCAGACGGCCTCCAAAACGCAAGGTCTTCTGTAGGTTCTGTTCACAGGCCTTGGCAATCCCTGCAGAGGCAGAGAGCAGAGACCTTGCTCAAGGTTGGCCATGGAGGAGAAGGTTCCACTTACCTCAGCCACGTGCTCCCTACAAGGAATAGGTCTCATTCCCTTTCTGCTAACTGAGAAAAGTGAACTCAGCAAGGGGCAGTCATTCGCCAAGATTATGACCTCCAGCAGGACCCAAACCTACATCTTGTGGGGTTGTAATCTGATTTGCCCTTGGCTTTGTATGGACCTAGAGATACCTATGCTCCTTAGCTGTTGCTTATGTTACTCACCCTCAAATGGCTCAATGGATGGCATGATGGTGCCCAGTCCCTGTCAACTGGGACTGCAGACCGAGTGACCTGCCTCACCGAACAGCACAGGGCAGAGACCCCCACCATCAATGCTCCATGCACCTAAGCTACGCAGTACTCTCTCCTCTCCAGGGGTGGAGTCAGGAATTCCAGGGCACACACTGTAGTCATCTCCCACCTCGAGCCCTTCCCTAGTTATCTGTGATAGTTGACAATCAGAGGAAGATTGAGGGGGAGGGACTCCCCTGTGTTCTCTATGGCTGCCATCTCTATAACTGATTAGAGGGCCCTGGCCCTTCTATTATTTGGAACTAGGGTCTTAGTACATGTAATCATTTTTTTTTTCGTCAACTTGACACAAACTAGAAACACCAGAAGTAGGAAACCTCAGTGGAGGAAGTGCCCTGCCAGACTGGCCTGTTGACATGTCTATGGGGCATTTTCTTGAGCAATGATTGGTGTGGGAAGGCCTGGCCCACTGTAGTTAGTTGTGTCCCTGGGCAAGTGGCCCTGGGAGGTAAAAGAAAGGTAGATGAAGGCTGAGTGTTGTGGCTCCTTTAATCCCAGCACTCCAGAGGCAGAGGCAGGTGGATCTCTGAGTTCAAGGCCAGCCTGGTCTACAGAGTTAGTTCCAGGACAACCAGGGCTACACAGAGAAACCCCGTCTCGAAAGAAAAGAAAAAAGAAAGGTAGCTGAGAGTGAGCCTAAGTGTAAGCCAGTAAGCACTGCTTCTCCAAGGTACTGCTTCAGCTTCTGCCTCCAAGTTCCTACCTGGAGTTCCTGCTCTGACTTCCCTTCCTGATGGACTGTAAGTTATAAGATGAAAACAGACCCTTTTCTCCCCATAGTTGCTTTTGGTCATGGCGTTTTATGGTAACAAAAGAAATGACACTAGGTATCCCATGCTGGCCTGGAACTCCTCATTTTCCTGCCTCAGTGTCCTGAGTGCTGGGATTACAGATGTGAACCACTATGTCTGGGCTCTTTCTTAGAGTTGCCATGGAAACAAAGCTGGAAGCCCCTTTGTCCATATTGTAAAGGTAAAGCTGAGACTCTGCCACCAACTGCTGGCCACTGAAGACCCTGCACCAGTAGAAGCAGTGCCCTGCTTTGCGTTCTGGGTTCTTGCTCTACCTCCTTCATTTCTCCTTCCTGTCATGCATTTCCACTTCTGAGCCTTGACTCCTACAAAGTCCATCTGGAAATTCTTTCTGTGCAAACACTGCCCAGGACAATTCTTGCTCCAGGAAGCCTTCCCTGGCCACACCCACATGAGGTCAGAGGAGCCTCCTCACCAATCCCCTTGGGATCTCCATGAATGCTTGTAGAGTCATTGTATATCAGTTACTGGACACCAGCCAACTACCAGGCTTTCTGGTTTTCCCAGCCCATGGCTGCATGCCCTGTCCCTGTGTGAGAGTCCCCACTCACAGCCCCTCACCTTGGAAGGGCAGACCTGGAGTCCAGCTCACATGTTGGAGGAAGCGAATGAGGTATGGGTAGAAGACCTCCGAGCAACTGTAGTAGGCAGCCATGATGTATAGCAGCCTCCAGCCTCGCTGACAGCTGTCCCTGTAACACACAGGGGTCACATCACAGGTGGCATAGAGGTGGACACAGGATCTAAGACTGGTCAATCAGAGTTCAGCCAACTCTAATTGTTGTATCCTGAGCCCTTGTGGTTGGTTCAAAAATGTACGAGCATGGTGCCAGCTGAGGAGTTGGGAGCTTCTTTCATTTTTGAAAAGCATTGAAAATACTGAAAAATATTATTCAATGTATATAAGAATCTTTTTTTTTTTCTCAGGAGCTGGAGAGATGGCTCAGCAGTTAAGGGCACTGACTGTTCTTCCAGAGGACCCGGGTTCAAATCCCAGCACTCACATAGCAGCTCAAAACTGCCGGTAACTCCAAGATCTGATACCCTCACATAGACATACATGCAGGCAAAACACCAATGCACATATAACAAAGGTAAATAATTTTAAAAAAAAATTTTTTTCTTTCTTTTTAAAATTTGTTTGTGTGTGATTTGCATGTATAGGTATGGGTATGCCATGGGGAGTATGTGGGGGGTCATAGGACACATTTATGAAGTTTGTTTTCTCTTCCCATTTTTACATGGGTTCTGGGAATTGAACTCAAGTTGTCAGGCCTGCCTGCAAAGCAAGCTCTTCAATCTCAGCCATCTTGCTCGCCCCACAAGGACCGTATTTCAGGCTGGGAAGGTGACAAGGTGGATAGAGAGCTTGCTCCTCAAGCAAGAGAGCCTGAGTTTGGATCCTCAGCCCTGAGGTAAAGCTGGGCATGGCAGCATGTGCCTGCACCCCCAGTCCAGAGCCTTACCCCAGAATTCTGAGTACTTGCCCACCTCTGCCCCAAACTTCACTTCTGGACCTTCACTCCCAGCCATGACGAAATGAATTCCCTCCCAGGGTAATCCCTGCTCCAGGAATCCTAACCCTGGCCACTATCTGGGGGAAGGAAGGAAGGAAGGAAAGAAGAAAGGAAGGAAGGAAGGAAGGAAGGAAGGAAGGAAGGAAGGAAGGAAAAAAGAAGGGGAAAGGAAGAAAGAACAATAGAGGAAATTACCCAAAGTCAACTTCTGGTCTCCACATTTGCATGCACAGGTGAGTGTGCACACACACACACACACACACACGAGAGAGAGAGAGAGAGAGAGAGAGAGAGAGAGAGAGAGAGAGAGAGAGAGAGAGAGAAAGAGAGAGAGGCCGAGCCTATAAAGGCCAGACTGACATCAAACTTCTACTTAAGCTTCTGAAGAGCTTACAGCAAGTGCCACTATGCCCAGTGTGACTTTATTTTAACTCTCTGGTGCTTTGACATTAACTGTCCCTCATTGTGGGAATGAGATCTGTCCTAGTTCTTCCTATCTGATCCCTCATTCAAGGACATGGTGAATGACAAATGTCAAGGAGTTTGTGCCAATCAAACCCTTTATGGGGAACTTTAATCAGTTAAGGAGTATAAAATGAGGCCAGGGCCGGGTGGTGGTGGTGCACGCCTTTAATCCCAGCACTTGGGAGGCAGAGGCAGGCGGATTTCTGAGTTCAAGAGTTCGAGGCTAGCCTGGTCTACAGAGTGAGTTCCAGGACAGCCAGGGCTACACAGAGAAACCTTGTCTCGAAAAACCAAAAAAAAACAAAACAAAACAAAAACAAAACAAAACAAAACAAAAACCAAAAAAACCCAACAACAACAAAACGAGGCCAGGTATAACTGCAGCCCGTTGTCTGTCCTCAGCATTTCAGCATCTCAGAAATACTGTACAAGCTCTTTCGTTTTTGTTTAAATTTTCTTTATATTTACTTACGTACATGTACACATGCATTTGTACACACACGGAGGCCGGAGGACAACTTCAGGAGTCAGTTCTCTCTTCTATCACACAGGTTCAGGGGACTGAACTCAGGTTGCCAGGCCGGGAGGCAAGCACCTTTACCAGCTGAGCCATCTCACCAATCCCCGCTCCCACTTTGTTTTGAGACAGGGTCGGTCTCATGTAGCCCAGGCTGGCCTTGAACTCAGTATATAGCTAAGGATGACCTTTGACTTCTGTCCCTCCAACTTCTGCCTCCTGAGTTCTGGGATTACAGGCAGGCCACTACATCCAGGTTTTTCTCAGGTTCTTTTGTCAGAAGTTGCCCTTCAGAGACTGGAGAGACAGCTCATAGGGTAAAGGCATTTGCCACCAAGCTGGGTGACCTGAGTTCAATCTGGAGACCCACATGGTAGAAGGGAGAACCTCTCATCCATTTCCCTCAACTTCCACACATGTATCCTCACCACTAGTACCCTACCACTAAGTACAATGTGGGGTTTTTTTGTTTTTCTTGTTTTGTTTTTTAGATTTTGAGTATACTATCTGCAGTTACATCTCCATGCCAGAAGAGGGCATCAGATCCCATAACAGATGATTGTGGGCCATCATGTAGTTGCTGAGAATAGAACCCAGGACCTGTAGAAGAGCAGCTGGTGTCCACAACCGCTGAACCAACTCTCCAACCCCTATGATGTGTTCTTTATTCCAAGTCGGATTTGGAAGGGTGAAACTTTCTTGAAAGTCCAAATTGAAGTTCAAATTCTCATTTCTCTGCTTTACCAAATATCAGTAAACAGCAACTGGAGTGTTAGATTAGGAAAGTCCCAGGAAATTCTGGGAGCTTTATGGACTGTCTGATCCTCTCCTATCCAGGGTCAACTCGTTTGAATGACTGACAAAAATATGTGTTCTTCTGGCCAGGACTTGGAAAAGTGTTACAGGAGTTCTTATGCTCAGCCGCCCACCCTCAGCGGCCCAATAGTGTTGTAACGGTGAAAGCAGAAAAGAGGTGTCTTAGTAGGAACAGCCACAGGGAGGCCAGACCCTA